ATGTAGAGTCATATGTGTCCGTCCGGGTTTGTCCGCTCGTCCATGTGTTAGTGTTCTTCTTTCCTTTTTTTCTTCATTTTTTTTTTGTGCATAACCCTTTGTAAATTGTAACATTTTCGCACGTCTGAATGTGCCTCGTTCATCTGACTTTGTGTGTGCGTGTGTGTGTGTCTCTATAAATTGTGGTGCTTTTGGGTGCGCACCTTACCTTTTTTAGGCCATTTGAAGTGCGCATGAATCGACCTCATATGACTCAGTTATGTGTGTGGGTGTACGGAACACGTTTTCCATTAGGCCACCAAGTGAAAATGTAGCATTTCCACGTGCTTTAATGGATTTTTCTGGTAAAGCCTGCAATAATTTGGTAATTTAGCATTGCTTGAATCTCTATCCGTTTAATTGGTTGGCCTGCATTGCAAGCGGGTTGGCTGTAAACGAAAATGTTGTTGTTGTTGCACAAAAGAAATTTCGTTGGAATTTCAACCAAAACATTCAAAAAGGCTGTGCAAAGTATTGCAAAGCATATCGATGTACATATGTAAAACCAGTGTTACCAACAATGAAGTATTTTTTTTCAATACATTGAATTTGCGAAATTCAATTGAAATACGTATGACTGAAAGGTTTAAATAATAATAAATATGAATGTATCTTCTAAACGTTTTATACATTTTTTAAGACAAACTCGAAAAAATGTTGCTCTTTTTGATTTGTTATCGACATGGTACACAAATACTCCCGACTACTCAATATTCAGTTGTAAGCCGCTTTATTGCCAGCCTGGGGCAATATGCAAACTCTGTTGCAATCCCTTGACAGAAAATGCTTGCCTATGCAAATTTTCAAAGCATCAAAACAAGTAAACACACCAGCAAACACACTCGAATCAAAAGCGAACAACGTTAACAGGAGCCGACCCTTTTCTGCTATGCATAGAAACGAGAGTTCGATGCGCAAACAATTCAGACAGCCTGAACAATTGGAGCCTTAGTTTATGTTTTATTATGTTTTGCATTGTTTTTGCGATCCCAGAGGTGCACGTGCCTAATAAGCAGAAAACAATGTGGCCAGAGAGTAAAGCGCCATCAGCAGAGCAAACTAATTAAAATTAAAGCCACACTTTAACACCATCTGGGCAATAACTCATATTTAATGCAGCACGGTAAATTCACTTGCATTGGCTCTGTTAAATTTACGACCGTAATAAAAGCCATGACAATAATTCTAATTTCCCATTTAAGTGATAAAAACAAGCCACTCATAAAGCTAAGTGTTCTGAACAAACTCACAATATTTAAGTTGAAACAATGCTTCGAGTACCTCAATTTAGACTGCAACGAATAGCATCATTAATTTGACCAATATTTCACAAATAACATCAACTTTTTTGGGATTCGTTTGTGGGTGTGTGTCTGTGTGTGTTGGTGTGTGTGACACATAAGCGGTGAATAAACATATCACTAGAAAAATTTTAACCATAATGTGGTTATAAATTAGATATAATAGAAATCGTACAAAATATTTATTTAAATAGATTATTTAACAATGCAAATTCAAATCCATTAAATCGGTTCGATACAAAATTCATATTCAATTTAACTGGTAATAAATAGAGCAATTGGTTGAAATATAGATTACAGCCCTAATAGTTCCTAATTGTTTAACTAGTTTAATGGCAAATAGCTATAATATCGCCCTCAATTCAGTTATCCGACAAAGGCACAACTAAAGGACCTGTGAATAGAAACCTAAGTGAAGAAAATACTTGTTAACTAGCTACAAACAAGTAACTTGGCAACCAGCTTTGCTTACGAAGTAAGCTGTTCACTCCAGGGGGACGCTTATTGTGCACTTGACTATTAATAATCTTATATTCCTGTTGTCCTTATTGGTGTTGGGTTACTGGTCCTACACAGTTATTGTTGGCTCCACTACTTCGGCTATTTATCATTAGGGGCAATGTATTAATGGTTATGTATAGTAAACACAAACAAAGTACGGAAGGCTTTGCTTGACGATGGCCAAGAGCCCAATCAAAACACTCACTTCGATTCATTACATTCACTTACACTAACACTGATAAGTCATGTGACGGAATTGTGACCTCGATTTGTCAGGTTTTCCATCAAGTGCACTTAATTAGAAGTAATTATAAGTTTCATACGAAATGCAGCGATAGATCTGTGATTAAAATTGCAAATAATAGTTATGAACATGAAGATATGCGCTCTAAGCAATTTAGGTTACACAGCTTTTACATCCATACACATAAAATTTCGAGAAAATCACTTTAAATGCTAAAATGAGTATCGGGTAGTTTTCAGAGCATCGATGTGATGTTGAAATTAAAACTGGAATTACATAAACTTAGGCATGTTTATGTATGTGCGTATCGAGTAGGCAGCTATATGCATGAACTAACATGTTTAATAACTTTTCCGGCATAGCAAATTGAAATTATTATTGCTTCTGGCAAAATGGTCGCATCACTTAAGCTTCAACATTTCCTGTGTAGGTTTTTTGTGTCATTTTGTGCCATATCAGTAGAGCATTTTGCAAATCCCCGAACGATCCAAGTGAGTTGGTACTTTCCCATGCCGCATACTTCGAGTGCCGCTGTTGCAGCTGAAGCTGCAGCCTCTTGGCACACATTTTTATTTGTATTTATTATTTTTTTTTTGGTTTGTATGCCATGGAAGCTCTGTGGTTTTTGCCCGGCTTCCCAAGAATGAAGGACTGGATATTTAAACACATATCTTTGGCCTTTTGGACTTAATGCTACTTTTGTTGAATGTTGTGGTAACAAATACTGCAAGCAGGCGTTAAACAATATATCTATGTATGTAAGCGTATGGTAAGGCAAACTGCCTACACTGTGATAAAGCGTCTTGGTAGGTGGAACAACTGAATGGGCGGTTATATTTCTGTACATTCGTGGAGCATTTGCACTCGAATCGTTTGCCTGGCATTCACATTTGTTAGCTTCAATTTTTTAACTTTTATAAGCAAAAAACATCAGCTTTCGACATTTCTTGTACGCGGTGCAAAACGAAATGTGCAAATGGCTATATCAGTCGACTTCTTTGTCAACACATGAAGCTGAATCTCACCTTTTTCGATTCATAAATTTCGTATGCTTGCCAAAGACATTCGTGCATTTTATAGCTTCTAATCAGGGCAGCAAAAACAGAACAAACTATTGATACCTTATCAGGTACAACTCCTGATTTCAAATCCGTAAACCCACTTTAAATCAGCCTAGGATTCGGTGAGTTTTTGTGAATTGGTTCGTTAAGAGACTAATAAAAATAATAGTAATCTTGGATGCACTGAAGATAGCATTGGAGACTAGAGTCTTCTACCGGCATTAAAATTTCCTAATTAAGTAAAGAACCATTCGATTGTTAATATAGGATGGGTTATAGGATGTTGGTAATTCATCGACGGTCAATTTAATTTATTTTATGGTTGATTAAGAGCATATAAAAGTCTTCAGTATCTTAGAAATAACTAACCGTAATATTTTGTTAAGCTGAAGTCCGTTGCATTAAAGAAAGATAGCAACAATAAGGTTAGCTAATTTTCTCTAATTTGCTAAATGCATTTGTTGTTGTAAGTTGTAGGTTATATTCATAACAAAATTCAACATTGGTATATGCGTAAATTCCTCATTTGGATTTGTGCATTAATATATGCGCATAATAGCATTTGAATTAGTGATATGTAGTTAAACATTCAGATGGAAGTGCTCAAACACAATACCAGTTGGCAGTTGCCATCGCAATAGCTTATATTTGTGGCTTAGGCATTACCCGCATTCTTAATTATCCACCGATAGCAGTGAATAACTGAAATGAAAAGCATAACTCAAGTGGGTGCCACGCTGCATACTAAACTTAGCCAAACCATTAAACGGCGGAGCTTCATCATCGTAGCTGCAATGCTGCAGTTGCACCACATATTTCCCATGATTAAAATTGTATGTACACACCAAACTTATGCGCAACAACTGCCCAAACCCATATAATATCTGAACTGAGCGGTTTGTGATTTGCCATTACCCGCTCTTAGGCATTCAAGCAAATTGTAATACAATTAGCGTCATTTGCATTTGCTGTGCGGTTTGCTCGCTTACCCAAAGTGTCTTCATGTGCGTGTGCATAATTGTGTGTGTGTGTATGTGCGTGTGTGTGTGTTTGTGTGTGTGTGTGTGTATATATGTGTGTGTGAGTAAAGCAGCTCAGTCTGCACATGCCATGCGGCGCTTAAGGGGTGTGTATCCAATACATAGTATATTGTTGGCGATTTATGAGCACTTGATTTGCAATCAGCTGTCGGCTTATAAAATAATAATGCACTAAGAGCCCACATTGAACTAAAGCTGGTCACTTGACAAACAGCATCAAAAGCGGTAGCTATAAGTTTAATTGTAATTTTGTTCAATTCCAGATCAGGATGTTTAACATTCTGTTTTCATTCTATTAGTGAGAATTTATAATTAAAAGGCTTAAACCAAAATTGAGAAATGCTTCAATAGGTATAAGTGAAGTTCGCGGTTTGAGGCTAATAAGAATATCTGTTCATATATTTATATACACTTGATTGTGTCGGAAATGTTGAAAATACCTGTTTTATGTCAATGTATTTTATTTTATTTAAAACAATCAACTGGTCATGTTTTGTTTTTGACGATTTTCTTCTAAATATAAAACTTGTTTTCAAAGAAAAACTTAATTGGAAATCATGGCAGACGCCCCAGTTGAGTCGGAGCTTGGCCTTCTGGTGGCGGACATCTTGGCATAGATGCCGCGTTTGACTACCAGTTTGGCGCGAGGCATTGATTGCTTAGCATATAGATCCTGTGCCAACGGCAGCATCGCCTGCAGCTTCTTCTGGCTGTTGCGGTGCACCTTTGACTTTACTGGCGTTTCGTAGATTATCAGCTCCATCGGTATGACGGGCTCTCGCTGTTTGCCTATCGTGATTGAGTTCGATTTGCCAATGTCCATTAGCTCGGTGACCTCCGAGTCACGCAGCAGCAAGTAGTTACCATCGTTGGATTCTGTTGGCTAGTGTAGTCCCGCACCATTCGTATAACGCTGTGTGAGTAAGAGTAGGATCGGTCGTAGATGGTTAGTGTGTAGTATAGTTTGCTAGTTGTAGCGGGTGAGGTAAGCCAGAGTACATAGATGCCCGATGTGCTGGCATTCTCGGCGACCATTTCGCTCTCCAAACGCTTATCACTGAGTTGGGCAAACCAGGTGCAGTGGCAGACCATCATCATAATGGGCAGGTAATTGGCATACTTGTGATAGTCGTGGAATAGGTCCGTATGGGGAAGGCTCATACAGCTGGTTCCCGGCAGTGTATTCGGTTTGTTCATCTGCCCTCCATACAGGAGTGTCGCCACGCAGTCATTCTGCCCGTGCTCATAGCCCGTCGGATTAAAGAACATTGTCAGCGGTCGATGCTCATATATCTCCGCATTCAGGTTGTCCCCAGCAATTGCATGTCTGTGTAGCATGTGCTTCATCAGATTGGATGGAAACACGATAGCAGAGCAATTCCCCACAGGACAATTAGCTGGTAGTAGGGACAATTGCTGAACGGCGTCCCTGCGCTCCACTTCTTTCTGATGCTCCTCTTCCCGTTGATGTGATATCTTATCCATTTTCTTTGCAGGTGCATTAATTGGATACATTTTGTAATATCTGATTCATTAATATGTCTTACAATAATTTTGAAAGAATATTTCTTGAATGCTTTGAATTGAAATTAATTTTACTTGACTGACAAATAAAGCATGACCAACTACCGGAAGGCAGCGTGTTTATTTACATTTCTTATACATATTTAAAATATTCAGCTTAACAGAATTCCAACGAGACCCATGAGAGTCAAGACTTAAAGCTATTTTTTGCCAGCTACTAAAAATCCGCACTTCTTGGTTTTGTGGCACTCTAATCCTCTGCAGTATATATTCAAACAAGCATGCATGCATATGTATTGGAAGACACAGCTGCTTTGTGGCATTTCTAAAGCGACCGAATTGCAGTTTGTTCTGAACAACGTCTGCCACAGGAGACGATGCTGCATAAAAACGAGCAGCTGCGAATGTGTATGTGTATAAATAAACAAAAACGGAATTAGTCGACAAAAGGCCAAAGCAAAGTGTCAAAATATTTTGTCCTTCACTCTTGCGAACTACCGCAAAAACCACAAAACTTCAAACGGCCAAGGCTTTGAGTCAACTGCTGCTAACTTATCAAGTTGTTGACATTACAAGCACTTTTCGTATGCAGAATGGTGGAGGCCTAAGAACAAAAGAAGATACTGCTGTAAAGAGTTGGTATCTTGTGGCAACGATTCGGTGTTTTCCATGTGATGTGTTGCACTCAATTGAGTACCTGCTTAAGTTTTTTTGTTCAACGAAAATCTGCGACTCCACAATATATGTCTTTCTTATTTGTACAAAAGCGCAACGAAAGAAGATTGCCAATTTCTTGGGGTATTTGATAAAGTAATCAATAAAAAGAAATATACTTCATTTATTATCTTATATGGAAACTTTCTCGTCAGGTTGACCCCGATCTACAAGGGTATGATATCTTCGGCGCTCTATTTTATTTATTATACATTTTAGAATGGTTAATAATAATCTTTTGTCCATTTTGTTTGTTATTATTACCTGGTAACCGAAAAGTTACCAAAGTTTAACCACAATACAATGCAAAACATACACAGTTTGCAAACTCTCGCCAAACTTTCATTTTACTTTATGTAAATCTGCACAAACTAATTTTGGGTTGGATGACAGCTGCGAATTAATTCAAATTGAGTGATCACCGCAAGGCAAACAACTGTAACAATGAGGTCGAGAAGCGGGCCATTGGCGGCCATGGATTTGGACGACCAACGGGCGCCAGAGAGTGAAGTGGCTTAATATACATACATACATATATATGGCATAATATATGCATACACACTTAGGGCTGCAGCTAGCAGCACTCGAATTGATTCGCATGCACATGCACGGTATATCAGTGTCCGGGGGGTGGCCCTTCGCCTGGGTCAGCTGGTTCAGCTGGTTCAGCTGGCTCAGCCAGTTACCAGGTCAGTGGAGGTCAAACGCCATGGTGCAGCAATCTTAAATTTTCATTGCATGTTGTTGGCGAAATTAATGGGCGACTGGAATGAAGTTTTTATAAATTAAGGTTGGCCGTTATTACATACCCTACAACAGGATTATTTATTATTGTTACAAATGTTATTATTATTAATGAAGCCCCTTAACTAGACTTCGTTTGAGTCATTACAAATATTAAAGTCTCAGCTCAAAAAGTTACTTCCAAAGTGTTCTTCAATGTGTCAACAGCAGTTAACTAGTTAACTGTTTCTATTGTTCAAGTGGATGCGACGTCATCGATTGTTATTGATCTGAGACATCTTACAGCCAGCCATTTGTCACTGCAGCTGCTCTGTATGCTCAAACTTGGCATCCTGGCATCCCAGAGCCAGTTGCTGTATGTGTGTGTGTGTGTGTGTGTGTGTGTGTGTCATAAGCAGCCGCCCGATAATCAGTCATGCAGCTCGGTGTATTTTACCCAAGCGACGTCGAATCTATGACTGGCTGACACTTGGCTGGTCACGTAGACAAAGCAGCCATTTTTATTTGATTTATCTACCTGGCACGCTGCTAACTGTTAACTGTCATCTGTGGCGACATCAGCCAGTCGGTGCTTTGACCAAAATGTTGTTGTGTGTGTCCGGATTTGGTTAACAACATCTGTAACCCTGCCCCAGGCCGTGCTAACATCACGCATGCCAAATATGTATGCGTCACGGATGACCAACTGCCTGGCTAGGTAGGTGACTAGCTGACTAGCTGACTAGCTGACTGACTGACTGCCCGATTACCCGACTGCAGTCCATATTGAGTGAGTGATTTTCTTTCTCTTCTATTTTTTCCACTGTCTTAGCTGTCAACTGCCGTGCCATGTGTATGTTGTATTTTGCTTTGTCCCCGTCGCACATGTCGTATGCGTATCGTCTATTTGTTATGCTGTTTGGCTCTGTGCGCAAATTCAATTTGTTCGCAGGCCTCAGTTACCACATATGTTTGTTTATTTAGGCCAATACCCAACAATCAGAACTCCAGCTGGAGCTGTTGCTTGTTAATGTTCAACGTGTAAAATGCTTTAATTTTGTATTTTATTTGGGTCTAGACTGTCATTTTTAAGCACCTTTATGAACTCCTAAGCTGAGCTAGATTGTGGGTGTACGCACAAGTCAGGACTAAGCACAGGCTGAGGACCGCATTAGGCAGTTATGTGGCTTGGACAGCTTATTAAGCAAGGAAAAACCAGATGGTAGCAAAAAAATTTCTCATGTCGAGCTGATTTGAAAAACAACAATTTTAAATTGTACTTAAATTTACAACATTTCCTAAATTTATTAAAGCGCTATTTATTTGCATATCGTCTGAGCATGAGTAATTAAAAAATCCATATTCAAGTTTTTTACGGTTGTTCCAAATGATTTGAATGGAAATTTTACAAAAGTTTTGCCAATGCTCCTTTTAAATTAGTTTTATCGCATGTCGCCTGCATAATTTGTATCATCATTAAGTATACGCCATGTGTTGCCAGTGCGGAACTTGAAGCCAAGCTGCCCATTTGCATGTCAGTGGAGCACAGAGTGGCAGCAATTCTGGTAGCCACTGCTGTCCTTCGCTGATTGCAGCAACAAATTGCAAAGTTATTAAGTTTATTAAAAACAACAGCAGCTACAAAGACATCACTGGAAAAGTGGAAGGCCAGTGTAGAATTCCATTTCGTTGTGCGCCTAACTTTTGCTGCTGCAATTCTGCATAATTTACTTGGAGCACTGCAAAGAGTGTAGGCAAACCCTTCGCCACTCCTGCCAAACATCCCCTTTTTTCCACTGCCTCACCCTGCCGCACAGTTTGCCAGTTAACAGTTCGCAGTTGCATCTGTAAGTTGCAAGTTTTTCGCTGATGCTCGTTAATGTTTGGCCAGTTTTTAGTTGCTTGCTTGCTTGGCCTTGTTTTTCATTATCAAAATAGAAGACCAGCATCCCTTAAGCGTATTTAGACGACTGCGACATCAGATTGTCACAGTCAGCCATTCGGCCCATTTCAGTTCTGTCATTTCTTTAGGGGCCTCCTTTCTTCTTGTAATTTTGGAAGTATATATCTTACTTTTACACGAAAAGTTGTTATGTTGTTTGTTTGAAATTATTCTTAATTACTTGCTGCAATTGTCATTAATTTTTTTTACCTAAGCTTACGTTTAATCGGTATGCTGAATCTATTTTCTTGTTTTAATGGTTTTGTTTCTCTTGACTTGTTTATGACCTGAAAATAACTCTACAAGCACAAAATTTTACGATTTTGATGAGTTAGCAGCTAGCTCGCTTGTTTGCTGCATGTTTGCTGATTTGTATGACTTAGAAAGTTGGTCCTGCGTTTCATTTTCAATTTGCACCATCGCCTACAGCTGCATCCTGAGCCTGTTGCAATTTACGCTAGCTTACAGTAACTTCCTCGTTTGTTCGGGCTTTGGCTGTGCCTTTGGCTTACTTGGGAAAGATGGTAAGAAAGACCAGGTAAATTTCTGCGCACATTTTCTACATTAGTCAACATTAAAAATTTATTTGCTCTGAGTAGATTACACGCATATAGCGCGTTATGGTTAAGGGGGAATGGGAAAGCGTAGAGAGGTAAAAGACAGAAAGAAAGGAGGGCAAAAATAAGTAGCCGCCATACAAAGTTTTTGCATATTCCTTATACAACCACACAGCAGATAAATATATATAAAGAAAACAAGAAAAATGAAGAGAACAAGAAGCATCCTGCCTCGGATCACAAATGAGCTGCCTGCAAATTAAGTGCAGCTGCCAGCGTCACTTTGGCTTGCCAACTACTTTAACAAACTTTTACTGCGCTTTAAGTTTTCCATAAAATGGCATGGGTTGCATAAATGCATGAATTGTGGCACGGTATAGCTTATGCCAGGACTTAATGATGCCGACCAGGCAGTCCACAGTTAATCACCATCGGCAACTGCAGCAGCCTTAGCCTCCAATCTCCATTCGCATTGCTACATGTTTTCAATTCAACGCCCGGCAGCTGTTCAGGTGAGCGCAAGAGTTATTGCCTCCAGGTGAGGCTCCGAGCTCTCGGGGGATGTGTTAAATTTTGTGTGAAAATTGTTGTTGGGAATGAGTATGGGAAGACGTTCACACGGATGATTCAATGACTGGCAATGTGCTCGTTTTTTACATTTACACTTTTCATTTTATTTATAGGCCTGCGAAGCACAAATAATCATATGCTAATAAAAATTGTATGCATGCACATGATTAAATATTTATTAAAAACTTTATTGCTGTTGCAGCTACGATGGCACAATCTATATTTTATGAGTAATTTATTTTTTTCCAAGATGTTGTTGTCATTGAATACACTACTATTTTAAGTGCCGAGTTAGTGGAAATCAACTTTTAAACTGAGCTTAGGCCACTTATTTTCAGTAATTATTTAACTTTGATTAGCTACATAAAAAGGTATTTGAGCTAAATAATTTTTAATTTTAAAATACAATTGAAATTCAGCAATAATTATTCATATCACAATGAATTCTCAAACGCATCCTTTCAAATATTGTCGCAATAAATCAAAAAGGCAATAAATAAAAAGCACAACTTGCAACAGTCGAAAATT